TGGGTTTGGCATACTTAAATTCCAATCATTGGGCATGCTTTCGTCCGACCATATTTTACAAAGAGGCTGATGCATGCTCCTTATCAGCTCTTCGCTGCCGTGTTTGAATAGCTCGGCCGGCAATCCATCGGCCCCCGCCGCTTTGTTGCTCTTCAGATGGGTAATTGCTATTCGAACTTCTTCCTGGTCGGACATTGGAACGTCTGCTCTATCGTCATCGATTGGGGAATCGGGTTTGCCTTCTCCTGGCGTTGTGCGCTCACTGCCATTCAGCAGGCTGGAGAAGTGTTCCCTTCATAATTTAAGTATGCTCTGGTCATCGGTGACTAGATCACCTTTGGGGGTTCTACAAGAGTATGCTCCGGTCTTGAAACCTTCTGTAAGCCGCCGCATTTTTTTGTAGAATTTTCGAGCATTACCCCTGTTGGCCAGTTTATCAAGCTCTTCGTACTCACTCATTTCGGCCTCTTTCTTTTTCTGTCTGCAAAACAGAACGTTGCGAGGTAGGCAGCCTGTTTTCTCTCCGCTGCGACAAGCTGTCGTACCAGCTGTTCTTTTGTACTTTGTAGAAAATCGTTCGGCTGGCTGTTGTGATTGCATATTTTCCACGTCGAACCTTCCTTGTGTTTGTTGCTGCACAGAGGAGGATGCGAATCTTGGCTGCAACAAGATAGTGGTCCGAGGCGATGTTAGGATCGCAACGGATAGAATCAACTGGCGACGTTTGGAGTGCTGGGATTAGACGGACCCACGTTAGTAAGATAAATAAAAACTCTGAATGGATTCACTGATGATATTACAAAGAACTAGTAACAAACAAGTAAGGATTCCTTGCAAGAATCAAGGCCTGGGAAACACTTTAAGGTGTAAAATAAATAATATTGAGAAAAGTGAAACGGATTTTCGAATATCCTGATATTAGTGATATGCAGTCTAGGCCAGGTTTCTAGCTCTAGGTTTTCGCTGGAATTGATATATTTTAGACAAAAAGATACACTGTAATATGCAATACACGCTCTCTTATTTTTATTGGGATAACTCTTATATTGGCCGATATATGCGGTACAAAGTTATCCCGAAGTTCGGAAATCTTTTTATTAAGTATTTGGGGGCTAGCATATAGAGATACGAGTAACAGAGAAGAAATATCCTTTAATTTCAGTTATATATATCACCCATTGACTAAAATTTTCGATCAAAAGTCAAATACAGATACCGGGGTCTAAACATTCGGCACCTAGGGAATGGAACAGTTTTTATTGGACTTAAACAGTTTTTGATCATAAGGTAGTACACATTAAAGACATTATTCGTGAAAAGGTTTATCCCGTTATATTAATTGCTTATTGATTTGTGTACTGGAAACTGAACGAAGCTAGTGGAATTTATAATAGTGCTATATTGGAAATAGGTCTGGATGTTGTCCAATTTTTTTATTTTGAGGAACCCACATACCAAGTTCTATCGATCTCAATTTTTACTCAAGTTACAGCCTGCACGGACAGTCAAGCGGAGTTCAACTTTTCTCGTCATCCTGATCATTTATGTATATATAACCCTATATCTATCTCGCTTAGTTTTAGGTTATACGAACAACCGTTAGGTGGGCAAAACTATAATACTATGTAGCAAGTAGTTGCAAGAATAAAAAATAGTTAGTGACCAAAAGTAACCGGAGTCTAAGACAAAGACCTGTTAATCCCTTTGTAGTAGAGCAAATAGGAAGAGATTCGACACTTCTATTACCCTTAGATTGAGCAAGATATCAAACAGATCTCTGTTGGTAACTGAAAACGCACCAAATTAACCTAACTATTGTAAGTATATTCGATTTGCAATGAAACACTATCGATAATTTGCACAACACTGTCTGAACCGATTATTGGCGAGAAATTGCAAAATTTCGACTTATTTTCTTAACTAAATTCAAAATTTTGTTCACTACATTCAGGCTATATGTCAGCTCAATTCAATATGACAAAATTTGTATATTTCTGTTCTTGAGTTACGCGGTTCTTGTCGCAAACACGTAATACTTAAAACACTCAGGATATGCTTCGCTATTAACAAACTACATAAATGCCCTGAGGTGCGGTCAAACGTGTATTGTTTTTCGATGCCACTATTTGTTGTTAGTACTGTTGTTATTGTACGTATCTTACCAGTCAATTGAATTTTGCCCAAAATTGCTGCTCACAACGGAGTCCTGCATCAGCTTGTGATGGATGTGGCAGCGAAAAACTTTGTGCGCATCGGTGCGAGTGATGGTCTACACCAGAAGTTCGCCGGTTGGTAGCATATAATTTTTCCCATCTAAAAATACAGAGTGAGTAATGTGAGGAAATGTGTATAAAGAAGCGATAAAACGAATTTGCAAAAAGGTTACGGTTCAGCAGAAATGTGGTGTGCAATAATGTATTTGTTTATTTTATTTTCGTGCTGCTTTTATTTGTTGATTGGTTGTCTAACTTTTTACATAACTATAACTGCATACGCTCAGCCACGTATGCATTCCTAATAACTCAGGGTACACACATGTGACTCGGTATTTAAGTAGGTTTGGTCAGTTGTGGCAAATAATAATAATAATAAAGTTTTCAACAAGGTTTGTAAGTGCAACGAGCTGCCTCAATGAAGGATGGTCGAATACCAAATACGCCCTTAGCTGGTGCGGGTTTTCCATACTAAACTCCGAACTCTCAAAACTCGTAGCGCTGGCGACGGAAGTCCGAAGGTGTAACGCGGAAGAGGAAACCGGCTGTTGACTACTGCTGGTTGTGCTTAGCTGATGAATGCCGCACTGTGTTCGGCATTTTTTACAGATATTGCAACAACATCGTGTATCTCTAGTGCTAGCAATACCATTGTGTTATGCCATATGGTGTTGGAAAGGTGAGATTTTAAGCTTGATTTTCCCAAAAAAAAATTATATTCGGGGAAATCGAAAACAAATTACAGCTGTTCAAAAATGTGCGAACATAATTATGAAAATCGCTATATGTTCTATAATTATGAAAATCTGCGATCATTTATTAATCGAATAATTCCTGAAGCGAAAGGTAACCGGAGATAATAATGTGCGAAAAAATCTTTGTGCAAACATGGTGAAATTAAAACAAAAAATTTGGGTTTGTTATAATATTGATTAGATGGACATTTGCATTCGAAAATAAGATACTAAGTTACAGTATAAACGGTGCAAGAAATACCCGGCTACAAATGATTATCATACCTCCTCTTACCCTCTACTCACTTTAGAACAGGAAGATATAATAGACAATTTTTCCACACTGGAACAAGGATAAGCTTTTGTAAAAATACTTTGGGAAATTTCGTTGAGATATCTTGGCAAATGTTATATATTTCAATAGAATGATTGCATTTTGGTCGAACAGTTTGTATGACAGCTACATTTTATAGTTATCCAATATCGGCAGTTCAGAGAAATTAACAGTTTCTTAGGGAGAAAGGGACGTGTGCAAAATTTCACAACGATGACTCAAAAACGGAGGACGGATAACGTATATACAGGGTGGATGACGAATTTTGCTACATTAAGAAACTCAAATAATTTTTTTTCGGTGTATGGAATTCATTTTTCTTTTATTCATGCCAAAGCTCATTCAATTTTAGTAAATATAGCTTAATTAGTTTCAAAAATAATGGAATTTAAATGCCCCCCCTGCTCGTTGATGCATGTGCGGCATCTTACCAAAAAGTTGTTGACTACTGTTTGGAGAGCTGAGACAGGAATAGCCGCAAATGTTTCTCGAATGGATTGCCTTAGTTCATTCAAATTTGTTGGTTTTGCTTTGTAGACTTTCTGTTTGCAATAACCCCACAAGAAAAAGTCAAGTGCAGTAAAATCAGGCGACCTGGGTGGCCAACGGAGTGTGGAGTTTCTGGATATCAGCTTATTTCGGAAATTTTCGTCGCAATTCTGTCATAACAGGTTGGGCTATGTGAAGAGCTGCACCATCTTGCTGAAACCACACAGAGTTGAAAGAAATTCTCATTCGGCGTAAATCTGGATAGGAAAACTCTCTCAACATGCTCAATTTTTTTTCAACTCTGCCGTTTTCTTCGCAGAAGTAGGGCCCAACAATGCAGCGTGATGAAACTGCACACCACACTGTGACACGAAGTGGATGCAATTCCGTCTCATGGAGTATCCGTGGGTTGGAAACACTCCATATTCGACAATTTTGTTTGCTTATGTTGCCGTTTAAATCGAAATGGGCTTCGTCAGACAGGAAAAGACAGTTCAACATGTTTCCATCCTCTTCCACCATTTGAAGCAT